GGGGTACGTGACAAAGGATGAAAGGATGATGGCGTATCATGCCATTGCAGAAAAGGAACTAAGCAAAATACCAGAATACTCGATCCAGCAGGTTGGAAGAGCGAAGAATTCGCATGCTGATGTTTTGGCTTCACTAGCCTCAGCACTTGACTAGGAAACTGAAAGAAATCTAACCATTGAATTCCATCCCGAGCCTAGTATTTTGCCGATCAGTTTTGATGAAGTGTTACATAATGAAACTGAGCCGAGCTGGATGGACCCCATAATTGGCTTCTTGAAGAATGGTAACCTACTTGAGGACAAGAAAGAAGCTCATAAGCTACATTTGAAAACAGTCAAATTTTGGTTATCTCCAACAAACGACCTGTACAGGCGCTTATTTAGAGGCCCGTATTTGAAGTGTGTATACCCGAAAATGGTACCCGACTTTCTATCCGAAATTCATGAAGGAAGTTACAGAGCACATATAGGTGGAAGATCTCTGGCACACTAAGCTATCTCTCAAAGTTTTTGGTGGCCATACATGCAAAAGGATGCTCAACAGTTAGTTAGGTGGTGTGAAAAGTGTCAAAAATTTTCACCGGTATCGCGAAAATTGTCCCAGGAGCTGCTTCCATTGGCGAGTCCGTGGTCATTCACGCAATGGGGACTAGACATAGTTGGGCCACTACCTCAGGCACCTGGCAACAAGAAGTACCTTCTTGTTGTAACTGATTATTTTACAAAGTGGGTAGAAGCCGAGCCCCTAGCCAACATCAGAGATACTGACATAAGAAAGTTCGTTTGGAAGAGCATCATCACCAGATTTGGAATCCCACATACACTTATTTCGGTTAGTGGCACATAGTTTGATAGTAATCCCTTCAAAGCTTTTTGCCAGTATTTTGGAATTCGGAATCACTACTCAACCCTGGCTTATCCTTAGAGTAACGAACAAGCAGAAATCTCCAACAAGACGATCTTGGATAGAATCAAGAAGAGGTTAGAGAGTGCTAAAAGGAATATGGGTAGACGAGTTGCCAAGTGTTCTATGGATGTACCGAACCACACCTCAGCGCTCAACTGGGGAAACCCCCTTTGCCCTAGCTTACAGGATGGAAGCAGTTATTCCATTGCCTTACTAACCTTGAGAACCGAGCTGGTTGAGGGCAACAATAACAAGGCTGTCGTCACCCAAAATCTTGATTTAGCAGAAGAGAAAAGTGAACAAGTGGCTATAAGAATGGTCTCTTATCGGCATCAAATATCCCGAGCTAACAACAGGAAAGTTAACCCTCGGTCTTTTTCACTTGGAAACCTAGTCCTCAGACGTGTACTTGGAATGGCTAAAAACCCAACCCATGGCAAACTTGGGACAAATTGGGCAGGTCCATATAGAATAGCCCAAGTAAGGGGCAACGGGTACTATAACCTTGAAACCATGGACCAAAGGGCAATACCACGCCCCTAGAACACTGCTAACTTTAGAAAGTTCTATTTCTAAAAAGTACCTTTTTAAATAGAACTCTCCGAAGTGCCTTCGAAAACTTAAGGGTGCCCCTTAAGAGATGATTTGTGATCAGCAAACATACTGAACTGAAGTTATTAATAAAATTTTGCTTGGAGTTTTATTTTTCTCCACATTATATACAACCTTTTGTTAAGGCAGGGGGACAAAAAATCCTGATAGAAGTTGTATCTTAAATCAAGTGTAGCTACCTGATCAAATTCAGGCCCTCAGCTAGGAATGACGATGTAAGCTGACTAGAGATGGATTTGAGTCTAATCAGATTGGTGGGTCGGTGCGAAGTAGAAATTCTCTTAAGTACCCAAGGGAATTGAGAGTAACTCTACTGAGGAACCGAGCTCTTTGAAGAGGGGCCGAGCAAAGCCATAACTTCAAGAGTTATCAAAATTTTTTCTAAATATAAAAGGTCCCCGTTGAGGGACTGAGATCTTTGAAAAAAGGCCGAGTAAAGCCATAACTTCAAAGAGTTATCAAAATTTTTCTAAGTGTAAGAGGTCCTTGGTAAGGCACCGAGCTCACTAGAGAAGGTCTGAGCAGAAGGATTTGTACTTCGAAAGTTATGTTTTTTTAGACATACAGTAAATCACAGAAACAGAAAAGGCCAAAATGTGTTTTGCATTCATACTTCAGCAGAGAAAATTACATAGATCGTTGAACGATTACATCAGAAGTTGCAAAAAAAAAAACTCCTAAGCATTTCAGGAGGCTGGAGGCTGTGAAGTACTTGGAAGAGAATGTTTGGAGAAAAGTTCAGAAGAGGAGAGAACCCCTGCAGCAATTAAAGCAGCGTGCCACCCCTTGCTGAAAAAAGCTTCTTGAAGTTGAGGGATTTGTAAGGCAAGATCATTTTCTGCCTTCTCGATCCCCTCATCGTATGCAGCGTCCTCTCTCACCTTTGCATCAGCTTTGAATTTGTCGAACTCTTCTAGGAGGCTAGAGCAGTTCAGCTGTGATTGAGAAAGTTCCACAATAGCCTCGTGCTCAGACTCCTTTAGTTTTTCAACTTCTGAAGAAAACTTCTTATTCTCTTATGTCAAACTATGATTTTGAGTTTGGAGAGTTGAAACTTCCTTACAGAGCTTGGAGTATTCCCCGTCCATCAATTCCTTCTTGGCCAAGGCTGAGGCTCGGGTGTGGATAGTGTCTTTCATAGCCTTGTCCTTTCTGGCAATCCTAGCCCTGACCTCGTGGACTTTTTGCAGACCCTTAAGATTGGAAGAAGACTTAGAAAAATTTTGCGAAGAAAAAATAAGGAAAGATGAAGGAAGAAAGTGAAAGGAATATTACCAAAACTATATGTTGGATGGCTTGACGAGACACTTCGTCATCAGTCAAAGCCTCCTTCAAGGCTAAGTCCCGAGGCAAGATCATTCCCCGAGCAATCCCTATTGCAACGTTGAAATCCTCTATTGCAGAGTCCTTTGCGGTAATCTCTCTCCTTTTAGCCCTGAAAACTAGTCTGAAAGGAGGATTTACTGTTTGGGGAGATGGACTCGCCTTGGCCTCGACAAGCTCAAAAATGGAATCATCTTGTGGGGAAGGGGAACAGATAGAATCTAGAGGATCTAAATCTACCTGAATTGAAGTTTCGATAAACTGAACTTTATCTGCCTGGTCACTTCTCGGTACTTTAGCAGTATTCAGAAAGACCAGCTCGACAAGGATCTCAGTAACAGGCTCTTCTAAAACTGCAATTGAAGGTACAAAAGTAGATGGAGGGGGCTCGGTAGACTGAGTTGGCTCGACAATCAATAAAAAGTCCAAAAAATTCTTCAGCGTTTGACGCCCGATTGTTGCCAAAGAAGACTTCCTCTTAGCTCGGGGAGTCTACTCCCAAGCAACCTGGATTGCCTCTTGGTTTGTGGCCAGTGTGGTGTTGGGTCTGTTTTCGGTACGACAATGAAAGAAGTATAATTTGGAATGTAGCCGAGCAGAGTGTGGGCAGCTCGGCAGGATAGGGACTCATTGAAATCCAAAACTCTCTTAAGCTCGTCCATCTTCACAGCGGACTTAGGAACCCTACCCTTGACAGTTTCTCCTTCACACAGAAGTCCAAAATCAAAAAGCAATATAAAAAAAAACGAGTTTGGAAGAGAAAAAGATTCAGATACCTGGAGCGCCTTCTTCGTAGGGACAACGATAAGAAATAGTGGCACCAACGGAGTATTCCTAATTCCCAAAAACAAACACAATGTCATTTTCATGACATTTGTTCGAATTTGGAAGATGGGTGATCAAATAACGGTCTTTATTCCTCACAGCCAAATAGAAGTTATCTCCAACAGCCTTGATTACATAGCAGTATAGTATTTCCCATAATCCCAAACTCAAGTTCAAAAGTTTGTTTAAAGCAGCTACGCCCATCACTATTCTGAAGAAATTGGGGCAGCACTAGATTGGGCATAATTTCATGGCTGATAGAACCCAGAAGAGTAATGGGTCAAAAGGGAAGCGCACACCGCTTTTGGTGATCGCTCGAGTATACATTGGAATCCTCTCTCTCGACCCAATCAGAGGTTCATCTTTGCCAGCGACCTTCACTTCAACGTCGTCTGGAATATTGAATTTAGTTTTGAAAGCAGGAATTTTAGAGGGTGTGAGAGGGGCCATTGAAGAAGATGGAGTGCAGAAATAGAGAAGACATTGAGAAAGAGATGGGTTTGGAGGCATGAAGGCAAGGTAGAGGAAGATATGAAGGAAAATCGTCTATAAAAGGGAAGAATTCTAAAAGGCAATATTTAAATGTCAATACGTGCCGCTAAAACTAGGGGGAATGACACAAGTATGCGTAATGATAATGAAAAGGTAAAAAAAAAATGGCTGAAAGACGAAAGACGTTTGTTAGACGTTTTTCTGGGGGCAAATGAAGGGGCTGACCCCCCATTATTACACATTAAATAAGCCCACGTGAGGATGACAAGACAAGGCACGTGACGAAGATATCAACCACTCAGTCAAATAGACCTAGCCGAACTAACCAAAATGAATTGGTAAAGCAATGAAAGAGCTCGGCCTGTACCAAATCGAGTTGATCAATGTGTTCGACAAAGTGCCAAAAGTGTTCGGCTCTCATTATGACCGAGCAATTTGAAACAGAAGATAAAAAGATAGGGATAAGCCTTTAACTTAGGCATTCTGAATGAACAAATTAACAAAATTACAGATGTCAAGAAGAATCATAGGAGAAATATCAATAACTTCTCAAACTGAATCACTAAATGAAAGGAAGGTGTGCTACTTTAAAACGAAAATCATGAAAACCCTAATCAAACATGGATCTATAAAATGAATAAAAAATCATGGTGAAAGGTACGTTGAACCTCTTTATCTTCTTTTATTCGTTCCAATCCTAACTTAAGCATCGAAATAACTTTGCGAACTTAAGCATTGAAATAACTTCGCAGTTTAGTATTTTACAGGAAGGAGATTGGGAATCACTAGTTTATAATTCATCCAATATCATAGATATCCATTCATTGTTCCTGTATGAGGTATGGTTAATTTTTTTGCCTCTTACAGTAATAATTCAAGGGGTAAGTGTAATTTATCCCCATAAAAACTCTCTCCCTCTCATCCGCTCTGATGAGCTTCATGTTCCGGATGCTTCAAGCACGTCTTCTTTCTCTCCCTAAAGCTTACGTAACTCTCTCTCTCTGTGCCTGTCTCTAGTTATATATATAGCTTGTGTTCACGCTTTGTCTTGTTGTCCTTAGGGTCCGTTATCATCACTGCCCGGAAGTTTCTACAGAGCTCATGGACGGTACTTCTTTGCAAAACCCATATCTTATTTTGTGATCTCTATTCAATTTTTGCAGTCATTTTCGGTGTTTTTGGTAGAAAAACCGTTTGTTTATTACTTTTCGGTGTCCAGCTTGTATTGGGTATTAATATGTTCATGATATCAATATGACCTTTGGACTATGTGTAAATCATGGGAATTTTTGAGTTTCTTTTTTCATTTTTGGTTTAATTTCAAGGGTGATGATTGGGTTTTGGTTAGTTTTTAAATGGGAGTTTGTTTGCTCTTTTTTAGTTTGATTTCAAGGGTGATAATTGGGTTTTGATTACTTCTTAAATGGGAATTTATGAGTTTCTATGGTAATTTTTAGTTTGATTTCAAGGGTGACAACTGGGTTTTTGTTAGTTTAGATTTTGTCTGTGGTTTAAATGTTCGTATCATCTATTGTGCAATTGGAAATTAGAAAATTTTGGTGTTTTTGTTTGTGGTATTTTGTTTTACTTTTTTTGTTAGCAGGGGCGGAGCCAGGATTGCTCTGCAGTGGGGGCAACTTATAACCCACTAATTGGCCAAGTTAGACTTGAGTTCAACACTTTATCTTTGAATTTTTAACGGGTAACTACAAAAAAAAAAAATAGTCCACCCATTAGTCATTGCACCCGTATAGTCATGATTACTGAAATACTTGCTCATTTTCTCATGGTTTTGGTTTGTGGCATTTTAACGAACATTAAACAGGTAACAATAGTATGGAAAGAAAACAAGGAAGCATTTCTCATAGACCACAAATCTTTCTCTCAGAAAGTTAAAAGATTCAACAAATACCAAATCTCTACAAATCTAAGAAATTTGTAATGGTTATTAGATTACCTTCCGATAACTCTCATAAGAATTTTTTAATGATTATTAGATTACTTTTCGATAACTCTCATATAACCTTCTATGACTTCTATTACGGGCGGATTTTACATGATGATTAGCAAGTGGATAATCATGATTAGAAGAGACACAAGCACAAGGTGGAGATAAATGGATTATATATCAGAGAATGGTTGGTTTGATTTGTGATTGAAGAGGAAGAGGGTAAAGAGACAGAAACAAGAGAATGAGTGGAAGTCTGAAGCCAACTTAGTGTAAATTATAAAACTAACCCCAAATGTTTTCTAAAACTTTCAGTGGGGGCAAGTTTTAAATACTTCTAAAATATTTTTAAATTATAACTAGGGTCCAACAGTTTTTAAAGTTGTACTGTAAATCCGTCCCTGATTGCTAGTGTGTTGTGAAGTTGCATGGGAATTTAATCAATACATTGTGCCTCGGGCACTTGGCCAATTAAGTCTCTGTTTATCAGTTTGCTTCAGTTGGCACTTTATTCTGTTTCTTCTTCTTCTTTCTCCCTTCTTTCATTGCATCAAATATAAAAGTTGCATGAAGTGCCTCTCATGGTTCTAAAGTTAACTTTTTGGGTGCTATATTTTTTATACCATTTAGAGAAGATTTTTTTTTTGCAGTCATAATGTCATAGCAAACAGAGTGTTGTGATACAAATTTCACGAGGCATTTCTCTAAATTGAGTTATTCTGCACTAAATTACGTTGTTATTTTCAAAAACTCTTCCCCTTCTTAATCAATGATTAATGGTTGAGCTCCTAATTTCTCCCTGACATTGTTTTATACATCCTTTTTGAGATAACTGTTTTGATTGTTCTCAATTAGATTGCATTAGTATTTGATAGCTTATGAATGAAGTTAATTGGTGATCTGATTCCTAATAGGAATTGCATGACTTTGCACTATCTCTTCTGAAGTTAAATGGTGATCTGATCCCTAATAGGAATTGCATGACTTTGCACTTCTCTGCTGACAATAAATGCTGTATCTTGTTATGATGTGTATGTGTTTCTTATTTCCTCTATTCCCTTGTAATAATGTCCTCTATATTTTAATTCTTCCCCCAAAATCGTACAATTATGTGCAGAAATTTTACATTTACCTACAGCTCAAATACTTGCATAACTGAGATGCTTCAGGACTATGTGGAAGTCTCATCAAATAGAAACACACTTAAGGGATTTAGGACTTTATGTACTGGCCAAGGTGCGTCTTACTTTTCTGTGTCATTGATATTTTGTGCTCCAGTGATACTAGCATGTGCTGTCAATAGGGGTTGTAACATCTGAAAAATTATTTCAACTTGACAATAGCAATTCTTTGGCATAATTTACTAATTTCTTTCTCTTTTTTTTGTTGCTATTTTGGCTTCAGACATGTGCTTAACTGACCTCCACAAACAGTACGTCTCTTGTTGAAAGTTGTATACTCAAGTGTGCTTTGTTGTTATCATCATATTTTAGTTGTGTGAACCTCTTATTGGTTTACGCAATTTCACCTTTGCTCACTCCAAAAGATATACTTTGTGGCTTTTGAAGCAATCTGTTGGAAAGTTTTCCACAATCTGAGAGACAACTGCAATACCTTGTTTCTTACTTTCTTTTGTTCTTTTTTTTTTTTTTTTGTGTGTGTGTGTGAGAGAGTGAGAGACAGAGAGAGAGAGAGAGAGCTGTTTAATAACAATATCCTCCCCCATTTGATATGTACCATGGTTCCTAGATTGCAATTCCTTTTGGGTTTGCCTTCAGAAGGCAAAGGTTTGGGTATTAGGAAGTTTTGGCAGTTCAATGTTGCTTTCTTGGGGAAACAGTTATGGACCTATGTGATGGATAAGGAGTGGCGAAGAGTTGTTCAAGCCGAATTTGGTAGCATTTAGGGGTTGGACTACAAGAATGAGCAAAGCTTCTGTCTTCTGTGGGAAGAATTGGAGGGAGGGAGGGATCTTTGACAACAATATCCTCCATTTAACATGCATCATTTTTCCTGGTCGTCAAGGTGGGTTGGGTCGTGGGAAATTTAGAGATTTCAATGTTACTCTATTGGGTTGTTATGTACATACTTGATGGCTAATGGATTATGGAGAACAGTTGTTGAAGCCAAATTTGGGAGTATTTTGGGTGTCGGACTAAGAAAATGAGTAGACTTCTGTCTGGCGTGAGTTTGTGAAAAGATATCAGGATTGGGTGGAAGTTGTCAACCTACTTAGATTTTGCTTTGCCTAGTGATTTGGGCAATCTACAGGAAAGGCAGTATTGCCTCGAACCAGAAAGCCTTGATAGAAGAGTATTTTCATTCTTGGAGGGGCTGTCTCAGGCTCTCAAGGGAGCCCAGGCTTGTTAGATGGTTGCCAGAATGTGAGTTGGAAGAAGTGGATGATTTTTTTAAGTTGCTTGAAATTCATGGACATAGGAGGGATTCTTTCCATTCATAGTTTGTATGCAATGGTTTGTTCATTGTTGAATCTTTTTATGAGGGATAATGTGCAGGGAGGAGTTGAGATTTCCCTTAAAAGAACGCCTGGAGGCTGAAGGTTCCTTCCAAGGTCTCCTTTTTGTTTGGCTGCGACCTTGGAAGCCATGTTTGCTGTCAGTACTTTGGGCTAAAGAGATGAGATAATTTCAAGTTGGTATTGAATGTGCAAGAAGGTGGAGAAAACATTGTTTCATTAGCCATTAATTTGAAGAAGTGAAAGATCTTGGGGGGATCTCTTTTCTCTACTTTTGGGTTTCACTGAAGTTGTTTGCCTTATAGGTTTCAACTTTCACCTGTTACTAGGAAGTTGTACAGGAGTGCTTGTTTGCGTGAGTATAAGTCGTGTATACACATGGGTTACTCACCTGATATTCTGTTACCTGTTCTAAATTGAAGAAACCAGATATAGGTGGAAGACGAATCCCAAGGTTGTGCTTCCACCCCTATTATTTGCATCAGACCTATGAAGCTCGCTTCTAGTTTATTTCATCAAGAAAGGTGTGTCTTGTCAAGAACCATTGCATCATTTGCAATTTGAAAATGAGAGAGCACTTGACAACCTTTTGCAATAGATATCCTTTTCATTCCAAGTTAGTTCAACTGGACACTTCCCTATAATAACATGAAAACATCCACTTTCCCTAAACCTGATTTATCATAGAGAAACAGAAAAAGGAAATTACATTAAAGTGGTCAGGGCTTTTGGCAGGCTGATTTTGCACACCATCCATGGCACCTGAATGTCTGAGTTTATAGCATTGCCAAGGGTGCATTATCCAGGATCTGATTCGTTGCTAGAATCTAAGACAAAACCGGGTCGAAAATTCTGGCTGGTCTCCAAAGCCTTATTATTTTGAGATAATGTTGCTGCGTAGTGTACGTGAAAATTAATGCACTCTTGTGGCCAAATTTATTTTGCAATGCTGGGCCTAGTCTTCTACATTTAAAGTAAGAAAGAAAAGAAAAGAAAAACCCAAATTTTGGGAAGCGATGATAGGCTGAGTTCACTGAAAAGGTTGATCCAGTTGCCCATATTGTATGTTTTGTGTCTTCAGATTTGTCAACCAAGGAGTGTGTACCATGCAGCTCGAAGGATTTGAGGCCCATGGCTGAAGAAGCAGCAAATGAGCTAGTTCAAAAGGTTCAGACTTCAGTTTATGTTTGATAAATTGTTTTCATATCATTATGGCCTTATTTCTTTCTCTATGGTGTGCTAATAGGTTCCTAAATGGAATTTGGTAAATGAAGATGGGACGTTGAAGCTTCATCGATCATGGAAAGTAAAGAGTTTCACTAAAGGATTGGAGTTTTTTCAGGCTGTAGCTAATGTTGCAGAAGCAGAAGGTATCTCACCAACCGAACCAGATCATAATTGACCTGTTAGTGCCGAAATTTGAGAGAGATTTAGTGGTGTGTATATTTTGATATCTAGTCCTGGGATGGTATTTTTGTCCATATCAATATGCATGTTTTGTCTGTAGGTGTGTTTGTGGCATGCCCCCTGCCTATTTTGTGGTTGTCTTTCAGTGCATGTTTGTGTGCCTACACACATGATTACCTCTGATTATGATTAGCATTACTTTTTTAATAAAGACAGCATGAGTAGGCCAAGTTCCATCTTTGTGACCTAAAGCAAAATATACTGCTCCATAGATGTTGATGCTTTAAAGTTTAAACAGTGCTTATTCCACTAAAAATGGGTGCCTTGATTGAACACTATGTTTTTTGCAATGAAAATATAGACCCTCTAATTAATGGTTGGTGTGACACTAAAAAAATTGTTCTAAGTTGGTAACGCTCTTTAGTTGTAATATAATACTGGCCAAATTCCTTTTCCCCCCTTGGAAATATTAGAAGCGGGTCTTGGATGAAACTAGGCCCACGAGAATTTCATGATGCTGTCTCATTATCATTGTTGGAAACTATTGTTGACAGTTGAAGCACTTGTGTTCGTGCACTCAAAACTTCTTGTTGAATTGTGTTGCTCAAAATATTTTTTTCTGATGGACGGTCACAATGCAGGTCATCATCCAGATCTTCATCTTGTTGGATGGAACAACGTAAAAATTGATATATGGACGCACGCAGTTGGTAATGATTACTTGTTATTTTAAACAACTCTATGCCAATATCAGTTCCTTCTTTATATATGCTACTGAAAGTTGCTGCACTCCATAAACTATTATTAAGAACGAATCACATTGGATCATCCAACAACCTGCAGCAGATGTCACATTTAGTGATGTCTTACTTATTCATTGGCTGAAGTCGGAACTAATATGAAACCCTTTGAAAGCCCAAACCAAGGGATCTGTGTCCTCAATGATATAGAGCCTTTTTGGGCTAAAGTGAAATGTCCTTGATAGTGAACTCGTTTAAATGTCAATTTTAGTTTATTATTCAGCTGATTTAGCCTAGTGGCAAGTGCCTGTTGTGGTTGATCTTGTAAAGAGACCTGGTGGCGATCTGCATAATCCAATATTTTGATAGTTAGATTACTTTGAAACATATTATATTGATATATCTAAGGATCAAACACATTTTTATGATTTGTTAGATAGTAATGCGTAAGTTCATAACATACACATTCTGGTAGGCTGCGTAGTTTTCTAATACCGGTTTTGATACCCACCAGGCCGGAGCCTCAACTAGAACCGTGTATCTCTAGTGCAAAACTGTTGGGTATCAGTTTAAAAAACTGTCATTCTTTATATGATGCCCTAAAAGAACCTTTAAAGCCCACTTAGTAAAGTTGATTTGAAGTGCACCTTTCATGTTCGGCTAGTGAATTAATACTGTTTTAATTCCCGGTTTTGCTGAATCTGCTGTTGAAATAGCTGCACGTTAAAATGCTATACTAAATATGCGGCTGTGCAGGTGGCCTGACAGAGAACGATTTCATACTTGCCGCTAAGATCAGTGGGCTTGATGTGCATCATCTTCTGAGTAGGAAAGCTGCTAAATGAAATGGGATGCTCTGTTGTGAAGTTTGAGCAGTTACTCACTACCTCTCTGAAATTGAAGGCTCTTGCATGTATTTCCCTTATATAAGTATCTTTTTTTATTTTTGGTTTTGTGTTGGAGCTTGAAGTTCAAGCATTGCCATGACTCAAAATATACATGGCAATATGGTTAGTGTAGCCACGGGTGCTGATGAGGTTGCTGGAAGGACGCGTGAAACAATATTTCCAATACGCTGCATTTTGGCCTGCACACTATCACCTATAAACATCTGAATTTTCAGATATTAACTGTTCAAACACTATCATTCGTTGATATATCCTGATGAGTTCTTTGCTCATGTTTTGACTTGCCTCGCATAGTTAGTTTGATCTTCGAGAAAATTGAAGAGACAAGCAAACATGATAAAAGTATAATTATTGAAGTTATTATTATTTTTTTTTTTAACAGTTTAAGCTTTTACAGGAACAACACGGAATTGTGAAATTGCTCGAGTCACATCTCCATAGTGGCCGAAATGCTTTCAAAATCATATTAGGATTTTTTATCTTTATTATAAAGAAGGAATAATTACCTTTTACACTCCCCTGGTTTGAATCAAAATCACTTTGCCACCTATAATGTTTAAAATTAGGCTCATAACCTTCTCATAAACTTGGATCAAAGTAAAATCACTAACACCTTATGTTGGGTTTAGGTATTAAGGGGTGGATTAGATTAATTTAATCCGGTAATAATATAATACAAAATTTAGATGAGATCATAGTGGTCTAGTATTAATTTTAATTAACCCGAATCAGTTCATTATTGTCATTTAACACCTCATATTGGGGGGGGGGGGGGGGAAAAA